GGCGGCACCGCGAAGCCCGTAGGCAGGGGAAGAGCTACACGGAGTCCCAGACCCAAAAATCCGCCGTGGAGGGTTACACTGGTTTTTGCCTGCCTGCCTGCGTGCTTTACGGGTCCTATGCAAACTCCTACAAGTATGTTTAATTTGCTGTGCGTGTAAGACCTTAGTGGTGCACGCTGGGCTGAGGACCTTTGAGCTAAGGCTCTGCAGAACTGTGGCACTAATTAGTAGGGGGGGGGAAAAAAAGGCCCCAAGAAACGTTGGCAGAACTCATCTGACTTCATTTGTATTTTTTTTTTTCTTGGGGTCAGAGCTGAATACTGCTTGGGTCCCAGTCTGTGAGATGGATCGCACCCTGCAAGCTGTAAAACTGCACCCAAGCAAAGAGCTCAGAGCACAAGTCCAGGTGCTAAATCAGGCCCTGACTCCGTAGGGCCAAAAGGTTAATGAAGTTGGCCCACCTATTGTACATCTAACAGCCGAGCTGAAGTGGACAGGTGTAGTATGAGGGAAACAGCATGACAGTGGGCGTTGAGATCAGCAGTCTCTAAATTGCTAAATTTATTTTTAAAGAAGCCTACGAGGTTGTGCATTCAAAATACTGAAAACATTTCATATGTCTGTGCTTTTTGTTTAACAGACGCTTTCTGCTATTCCTTCTGTTTCCCCACTGCCCATCACTATCTAGTCTCTGAGTAACAGACTTGCACCTGCAGTCTTGTGAAACTAGAGAAAGTTCGGTTCTTCACAGCAGCTAAAAAAGGAGCCCTAGAGAACAACTTGAAGGCTATACATAAACCCTTGGGAGTTTTGAACTGAGACTAGCAATGCAGCTTTACATATGTGCTGCTGCAACGTAACACGCAAGAGGAACCAACTAATTTTATTGCAGGCATCTTTTGAAAGTTATCTCTCATCCAACCTTGATTCAAAAGTTCTGTGAATCTGAAAATGTAGCCTCTGACTTTGTATTTGTAAATCTGTAGGATTTAAACATGAAGGTAGTAACTTGCTTGGAAATTGATTGTAGCTGTCACTACACAGCAGGTTGGATTATGAAGTTAAATCTTTCTGTAATAAATGAACATACTTCAAGCAGCAATTATGATTTTCTCCAGTTATCCTTTTTTATAAAGAGGCGGGATTTGCAGGGAGAGGTACTACCCTTTGTTACCCTTCCTTTGGCCAAGAGTTGATTAACCAGGCAAGCTTTAGAGTATGTAAATTCTCCATCAACCCATCATAGCACAGCATCCCCACCACTCATTTGCTGTGATCCGTATACTGAAAAGAAAATGGGCAGTGCTGAATTCTTCCCTGGGTTATGATAATTCTGGAAAGCTGTATGTTTTTCTAGTCATTACAACATAATTTACAACTCATCTTACTCTGTTATCTAGTTTTCTCTTTCACTTTATTGCTTCATGTGTTCTCTTTCAGCATTTTATTACAAATGCGTGGAAAAAGAGGATGCGGTTTCATCTCTCTTCTGATTAGGACTACAAAACTAAACACTATGAGATTGAATCAAACTCTGATGTACATCCTTGTCATGCTAACTTTAATACATATAGAGAGAGATTTGTGTATGTGTGAACCATGTTTTCACATTTCTTTTATTTCCCTCAAAATGAGAGTAAGGGTAAAATTTTCAGCAGCAGCACGCAAGTCTCCTGGGTTTGTAAATCCAATTTTTCAAGACTGTTTTAAGAGCTTTTAAGAATTTCAGAGTGGCTTCATCTTACCGCCACTTAGTGCCTATCATTTCTGAGAATGGCACTTGGGCCCTCTGAGTACTTTTGAAGTGTTTCCTCTTGGTTCCTAAAAGTAATCTGAGGACGTGTTGATGTGTGATATTAGTTCTTAGGCAGAGAGGACTGAATAAAAGTTACCTCTCAGTTCATCGTCTGTATTCCTTTCCTTGCAGCTGTTTGGAACGATAGTCTGGATTTTGGTAGCTTGTACTCGAATTCCACTACCAGTGCTGCAGGGATGGGTAATGTTTGTAGCAGTGACTGCATGGCTCCTGTCCATTGTGTTCCTGTGTGTGTTCCTCTTCGGTTTTGCAAATAGAATTGCTGTCAACTGGAACCAGGCGGTAAGATTTTTTTTTTCTTTATTTAAGGATTCCCTTTGTTATATAAACTGAAAATCATTTCATGAGAAGTACTGATCCTAAGTCTTAATGCCTGGCCTTCTGTTTTAGCAGAAAGTTTTTCAAAATAGAGGAATTTGAAACTGAAAAAAGAAAGAGTAGGGCTACAAGGATGACGGCAGAAATACAGGACCTGTTTTATGATGGAGGCTGAAAGAGCCCAGCTTTTGAAACTGATTGAAGGAGTACACTTGTCATCTATGAGCACATAAAATGCATGAGCAGCAGGAAGAGGACCAGTTTAACAAGGCATGACAACAGATTAGTTTAAATGGCCAGAAATAATTGTGGACTGGAAATTGGAAAATATTTTCTGACTTAGAGAAGTGGTATTAACACCCGGTGAATAATGGGGGTTAGAAAGATACATCTAACATTGTGAAGGAAGTGATACATTTGTGAACACATTATATGATGTGATTGTCTGAGATAGCACGGACTGGACTAAAGCACCCAGGAGGTCTCCTCCAGTTCCTAAGAAAGTCTTCTGCTGACTTTTGGGTCAATTTTTTAAAGGTAGGGCAGCATTGGTGAGTGGCAGTTAGACCTTAGGTAGTCAAAGACAGCATGACCGGCAGTATGATACAGCTTAACATCTTTTAGGAGACTTAAATGCTTATCTTTCTTAGAGGAAGCCTGGTGAGACTACAGGTATCATTATACTCTGCCCAGCTTTTCTTCATTGTGAAGACAAGACGTGGTTCTTGCTATAATGGATTGTTATGGCTTGTGTCAGTAGTTCTCACAGACTATACCTTCCTATTAAAAAAGGGAAGCTGTTGGCTCCCTTTTTTACCAACCACATTGGATACCTCAGGTTATTGACTGCTAACTTAAGTACTCCTTTGTTGTCATTAACTGTTTTTTACTTCGAGTTTTTAGTGTGCAAGTAGTTGAGCATGAGATGGTACCACACTCTCTTATATTACTGGAAGTGAATAATAAGAGGTGGCAAAACTGTGATCAGAATGGGAATTTCCAAAAAATCTTCCAAAAGGACCAGAACTTCTACAATATTAAAGTATGGTTGTTTGTAACTGCTGATCACCTTCACCGTCCTGCTATATGGCTTAGTTTTCCTATTGACACTTTTCTTGATCATAGCTGGAATTGCACACCTCAGTATCAACATTTGTGGTTATTTATCCATTCAAGTTATTCATGGACAGTCCCTTAAAACAAAAGGTCTTTAAAGCAAATCATAGAGCTTCATGAGTTTGGGGCTCTAACTGATAACTTCAAAGCCCATCGGTGGTAACTGACTGGATTCTATTAAAACAAACTTTTGATAGCGAATACACATACATACAGTGTCAGCTTTCCAGCACAACACAGGCAGTAGTTAGGCTAATAATGAGTTACAAATAGAGACCTTTACAGGGATTTATGCTGCAACATCCTCACAAGTTATGATGCAACAAAGCCCTTGAGCATGTGCATAACTTAAGTAAATTAATAGTGTCCTGGGTTTCATTGAAACTGTTTGCCAATTTACAATCATGCATCTAAGTGTTGCTGGGTGAGGGCATAGCCTTTTATAGATTGAAAATGCTATAGAAATGTTCATCTTACAACAGTTGTGTGTCTTACACATTGGCTACTTGACGCAGTGATTTGTTATACTGTTAATTTTCTCCCCTTGCATATGATAAATTACTGAAAAACTTCCTACATCAGGAAATTGCTACATGACTTCTATAAAAGCTGCATCTGTGGGACTCTGTAACTTAATCTAAAAAGCTGTCATAACTAAGTCAGTATCTTAAATAAATGCAGAGTGAGTTGTTTTATCTCTAACATGGTAGCTGAAATACAGTCCCTTCCAGCTGTCAAAAAAAAAACCCCACTAGATACATCATTTGACCACTATTTTCAGGGACCTAAATGTTCTGTAACTTGTTGGTGCTAAGCTCTTTAGCAGCATTTCACAGTTTGTTTTTTTTTTTTTTTTACCTTCTGTTGCAAATAAATAATTACTAGAAACCCTAAAACTAGGTTTATTGCTATAAAATAAAAAGGTGTACCTGTTTGGTTTAGGTTGACATGTATTTAGATAAATACATGGGTTTTGCTATTTCATAAATTAAATTTGCAATAGAACTCAGAAGCTACAGGTCATTGCATTAGATCAAAAATGGGAAGACTCATGGCTTAGTTATATTGGAGTACTATAGCTTCATGTAGAGCTTCATGAACAAATGTGTTTTAGGACTCCAGGAGTTTAAATGTAAGTTTGAAAAATAGCATGGGATTCTGACAGCCCTGCGTTTAGTAATACCTTATGTCATAAGTAGCTCCATTGATACTAATACAGATACTTAAAAGATAAGATGCTACACAGTGAAAAGATGGGGGAAAATATGGATCTTATGGAGGTACAGCACTCTCTACATCACTGTATTAAACCGGATGGTATGACAAATACTGTCCTTTACAGCCTGACTCACAACACAGTCATTTACAAAATTAGATGTGAACTAACATACCATGCAGATCTGGTAGTGTTTTACATACACTTTGTATGAGGTTTCAATGGTTATACAAGTGTGGAGGCAAGGGAGAGGTAGGCACCATGCTAACAATTACTAAAAAACAAACAACCCTCCCTCATAAGATCTTGGGGCTTTTGGGCAGAGAAACCGTAACCATAGGAACGTGGAACCTTACTGATGCTACATAGCTTCACTGTAATTGCTGCCAGGAGAAGGAAATTAGAGGGTTTGGGAGGAGAATGAAGGAAATGAAAGAGTTTGTTTTCTGAAAATACCTCTCCTGTATGCAGTCAGCACTGCCTTCCTCATGGAGCTATTTGTGCTCCTTCATGAACAGTGGTGCCAAAAGCGTACAGCTGGTAACAGTGATACAGTGGCACACTACATACTTAGCAGCCCAAGAATAATGGAAGTCCTTGATTACCCATGGGTTTACGCAGACCTTTCAAGTTGCTGGAATCCTGTGCTATGAAATGGGTACGTCAGGCTGTGATATGGGGTCCAGTGTTTGTCACACAGTGAGCACACACCTGCATGGTGCGCGTAGGTGGTAGCATGAAAGATATGCGTGTCTGTCTGCCGGCTCGAGTGAGCAGGGGGAAGCCACAACAGTAAGCATCTGGTGGGGAGAAGTGCTTCCCCCAGCTGCAGCAGAGCACTGCAGCTTCTCCGATGCTTCAGCACTCTCATGCTGGAGTAGGTCCTTACTACTCATTTTTCTATGAGGTACAGACATTACAGCAGAGCTGGAGACTGAGAGAATGTGTCTTACGCTGAAAGCTTGAGATCTGGCAAGCCGAGCACGTGAAGGCCATCCAGCTAGGTCAGGAAGCTACCCTCTGCCCCCTATCTTCTCAATTCTGTTGATGTCAGCGGGGCCTCCTGGCGGTACTACAAGAGGAAGTAACTGTTTTTGAAAAATGGGGGGGGGTGGAAACCAACCAAACCAACAACCCAGCCAGGGTGGAAAACCAGAAGTTGGGAATTACTGCAGCTATTTTGCCAAAACTTCGATTCCCAGTAATTAGCAGTCATTAAGAAAAGCAGTACACTCTAGAACCTAACCTCAAATGATCTTAATTAAGAGAAAATTATTTCCTGATGTAAGTGGAATGGGAAACTGTAGTAGCAGCTTATATTGTAACTTATCAAACTGAATGGAGTGTGATTTTAAGTAGCTTTAGCTGCTATCAAATATGGAACAACTGATGAGTTTGGAAAGAAAATTCTTTCAATAAAAAGAAAATCTCAAATCTACGAAGAAACAATTCTCTAAACAGGGAAATGCAGCACATTCTCCCTTTGATATCAGACAGTCAGTAGGTAAGGATGTTGCGCAGTAATTTTTAGTGCATATGAATGCTGTCTGCTGTTGTGATGGACTCACATATGGTGTACCCTGGCTTCTCACTCTTGGCGTACTGGTAGTCTGTTGCACTCAAGTGAATTAAAAGTGCATAAAGAATTCATTAGCGCTGGAGATAGACTATATAACTTGGATATCATCAAAAAGCATACATATACTTGCGTACAATTTTTTAAATTGTGTCTATGGCTTTTGCAGACCTGCATAGGTATAGGCACAAAGTACATGTTGTGTGGACTCAGGAACTGACTGCAGTGCAAATGTCTGCTTTGGAGACTCAACAACAGAAGGAGATGTTGGAAGAATATTTTAGACATTTTAAAACTGTACTGGAACATGTCTTGGATCTTGCTGCATGGAATACTGGACTCTGAAATACAACCTGCAAAGAGATTTAGGCACCAGAGCTGCTTTTTCATGTGCTCCAGTAACAGATTCTAGAAGTGAGAGTTAGATGTTTAAACCTTGTGTTCAGCTAGCATTCACAACAGAGGAGGGAATTGCCTAGAGAAGGCCAGGAGAGAAGCATATTTAACGTAAATCCTAACTCCTGTCCTCTCAAGTCTCAGGCATTTTATTCCACAGTATCATGAAGTACTTCCAAATTACTGTATTTTGCGTAGAGCCAAGTCAGAGACAGTTGAGGAAGTGCCTCAGTTCTTGGATTCTGACTGTATCAGGAAGTAAACTTCAGGTGTGTCAAGGCCGAGGTGTTTCTGGGCATTTACAGAAGCAAAATTTAAGCATGCAGGTGGGACTTCTGGAGCTTAGGTTATAGCTGAGAAGGGATTTGGGGGACTGCAAGCTTGTATGGTACTGCTTAAATTGTGACAAAGTTGGCCTGTATGTCCCTTCTTTTTTATCTAGGCCATATGAAGGGAGAGTTCTGTAAGCTTTAAAGTGATGTAAAAGGTCAGCATAGGTACATACTGATGAGCACATGCCTCTTAATTTGAAAGAATATAGGGTTTGGGGAGAGGGAGAGTTGCTCTTCATCACTAATTATGTTGGTGAGTTGCTTATAATTGCAAGCAGCTGTGAAAACATGTCCAGGTTAAGCTCTCGGATGGATTTAACACTGCTTATCTAAAGTTACTGTTATTAGCGCTCGTTTCATGTTTCAGTGTTGGGTTTCATTTGTACTGAGACTATAAGAATTAGGTATGTATGGCAGCCCAGACTGATTCTCTTATTTGCTTTTCAGGATTTTCTTTTCCATGGGATTACTTTTGTCTTTTATTTTGGAGCTTTTCTGCTGCAATCAGCAACTACATCTCTGCATTACTTTCCCCGCAAACTCGAATCCACCACACAAGAGGAGATTCTAACTGGTCGTGAATATGACATAAGTGTAGTAGCCTCGGTATGTGTTTCATATATTTGTATCTGGGGAACAGAACTGTGTTGTAATCCCTTGTAGCCACCCATTCAACTTGGGAACTTAACAGCAAGCTGGAATAGAAAGAGGAGGTTTGAGAGGAAGGATTGTCTTTGAAAGCAGCAAACAGTGTGTAACAGTGACATGCAAAAAATACTGGAATAAGCTAATGCTAATGTAATGGGTGCTCAGTTGCTACTCTTCACTGTAGTGTTTTAAACATATGATCACTACAGCTTATAATTTTTAGACAAGATATTTTGTAAAAGCAATGTTGATTATTAGAATAGAAGAAGATAACAACTGAGCCATTATCAAAGCATCAGGTGTGAATCTCATGCCTGTGCTCAAACTTTTAGTTGCTTTTTTATATCATTTAGGTAGTCCTGAACATGCCACGGGGAAAAAACCTTGGGCTAGCTTCTTGTGAAGCTCCAGATAGGTACTTACTACCTCAGGCATAAAAGTTACCTGTAAGGAAGGGCCCTGCTGTCTCTTATGGCAAGGATTAGAGTGCTTTTATTCATAGCCTAAGCTCAGACTGCATTTTTCTCACTGTAGTTGCATAATCACTATATCTGGTGATGTGGGTGTGCATAGCTGAGTCAGAAAATATACCAGGCTCTAGCTTTCTCCCTGGCTGGACTCCTGAAGGGCAAGAAGAGGTGTGCCAGTAGGCTTAACTTAAAGAACTGAAACTACTGCTCTTATTTTTTTGTACCATCCAGAGGGTCTTGCATAACTCAGGGAACTGTATATATTTATTAAGCTTCTAAAACCCTCTGTGGGTATCTGTTGTCCTTAAAACTAAATACACCATAAATTTTGCACGGTAAACACCTTCAGTTCATGTTAAGATGAAAAGAGGTGAGCGTAAGATATAAGGTTCACATTCTCTCTGCAAGAGGAGAATAAAAAGGATAAGGCCTTTTGCTTTGGCAAGCCAGTCTCTGAAGGGGTGAGGTGGGCATGTCAGTCTCCAAGTCCAGAATGCCTCACCATTACGCGCTTGCCAGTAACACACTGAAGCACATCTGATCGCTGTGTGGCCATATGGCACAAGGACAGAGGTGGTGTGTCATAGCTGTGCCTGGACTGAGAAAGGTCTTTATACTAAGCAGCTATCTCAAATTCTGTAACTCTTCAATCCTTGTTCAGTGTGTTCAGATCCCACTGAATATATGGTCACTTCAGTCATTTTGTCTGACAACTGGATACTGGGGACTCCAAGAGACCCTTTCCCCCTTCCCCTACTATTTTTCCAACGGAGAATTCAGTTCTTCGAGCCCCTCAAATCCCTGTCAACATAGGGGAGGAGGAGAATCTTTTGTAACTTGACTCAGTATTTTTAATTAACAAATGATGGGAAATGTGAATGAGATAACTGTAGCCTTTAGCGTCTTTGCATTTTTTCCAAAAGTATATAATTAGAAAGTCAGGACATACAGAAAAAAATGGTAATCCTTTGAAACACTTCATTAAAACAGTCCTATGATCTACATGGAAAAAAAATAAAAGGTTGCTAACATTTTGTCTTTCAAACTTGCTTTTGTATACTGTGATTAAAAATATATATGTTCATTTTATATGGGTGATAATTCTACAGTGTAGCATCTATTCAAAGCTTTAATTGTCAAATTAACACTGGTATGGAAAGCAAGGGATAGGTTGTTACGACATGATTGAATTTGTATGTTCTAAGAGATACAATCCATTGTTAGCATTGGACAATATGAAAAACTATTTTTTTAAGCAATTCAGTTTCTCATTTCTTCATAGAATCATAGAATTGTTTAAGTTGGAAAAGAC